AGTATTCCTTGTAATTTTTAATTTGGGAACTCTTCAGGAGGTGATAAGTGGATTTTTTGATGACTAATTTGCCCTCTGGTTCTGGGATCTCAGGGCACTTTTTCTTGATAATTTCTTAAAAGATGCTGTTCAGGCTCTTTTTTCAATTATGTCTTTCAGGTAGTCCAATAATCCTTAAATTATCTCTCCTGGATCTATTTTCCAGGTCAGTTGTTTTTCCAATGAGGTAGTTTATATTTTCTTTTATTTTATCATTCTTTTGATTTTGTTTTATTCTTGATGTCTTATAGAGTCATTACTTTCCACTTGCCCAATTCTAAATTTTAAGGAATTATTTTCTTCAGTTAGCTTTTGTACCTCCTTTTTCATTTGGCTGATTTTACTTTTTAAGGAGTTGTTTTCTTCAGTGGTTTTTTTTTTTCCATTTGGCCAACTGTATTTTTTTTAAGGAATTGTTTTCTTTGGTCAATTTTTGTCCTTCATTTTCCAAGTTGCATACCTCTCTTGCACACCTCTCATTTCTTTTCCCAATTTTTCTTCTAATTCTCTTATTTGACTTCTAAAATCCTCCTTGAGCTTTTCCAAGAAGGCTTTTTGGGCTTGAGACCAATTCATATTCCCCTTTAAGGTTTTGGGTGTAGGTATATTGGCAACATTGTCCTCTTCTGAGTTGGTGTGTTTATGTTTTTGTTTTTTGTTTTTTTGTTTTTGAGTTTATGTTTTGATCTTCCCTGTCACCATTAATTTACTATGGTCAAGGTTTGTTTTTGCTTCTTGCTCATTTTTTGGCCTATTTCTTGGCTTTTAAAGTTGAATTTTCTTGTTGTAGCACAGGGAACTGTCCCAAGCTTCTTGTGCTGTGGTTCAGGGGCCTGGTCACTGGCTCTGTGTGCTGAGGCCTCAGGTGCTGGCGACTGGAGGCTGGAGGAGGTCTGGCAGCTTATCTGGTGGTGAGCTGGAGTCATAGAGGTGGTGTATGGTGTGTGCTGACACTAGGTGGGCTTTGCTGTATTTCCCTGGGGCTATTCTGAAACATGTGGAGGTCTGGCCCCTGAAGGATGCCTGTTTGCCCAGGGCTGTGGTTAAACATAGGAAGGCCCAGCAGCCAGAAGATGCTTATCCACCCTGGGCTGCACTGAAGAACATGGAGGTCCAGCTGCTAGAGGATGCATGCCTGCTTAGGGCTGCAAAGAGGTCCAACAACCAGAAGATGCCTGTCCATTCTGGGCTGTGCTGAAGCATGTGGAGGTCCAGTTGCTGGAGGATGCTTGCCTACTTGGTGCTACACTGAAACACATGGTGGTTCTCCATCTGGAGTCTACTGGCACCCCTGGATATGCTAAAGCACATGGAGGGGTCCTGGTATTGGCGTTTACCTGCTCCACCACACTGTGGCCCAGGATCTCTCACTGGTTTGTTGAAGCAGGGCTTGCTGGGACTCTTCCTGTCCTGTACTGTGCTCCCCTTTTACATGAGTAAGATGGATCCTTCTTGCCATACCTTTCTTACCAATCCTACAAGTCTCCCCAACTAAAAGACTACTTCACCTCATCTTTCTGATGGTTCTACCCTTCCAGGATTTGTTCTGAGGCCCTATTTTATGGCTGTTTGGAGGTGAATATGGGAGAGCTACAGTGATTTACTGCTTACTCCACCATCTTGGCTCCCAGAAGTCTCCCTTATCTTTTTCCTGACCTTTTATGTTGAATTTTCCATTGAGTTCTGATCTTAATTGTCACAAATAACTGTAGGTTTTTCAGTTCATTAAATATCCATTTTTTTTCATTCAGGAATATAACCAACTTTGCTGTATAAGTTATTCTTGATCACATCTTTTGCCCTTTGAAAAATAATGTTCTAAGACCTGTAGTCTTTTAGCATAGAAGCTGCTAGGTCTTATGAAAGCCTAATTGTTTCTCTGCATTATTTAATTTTTTTCTTGTTGATTGCAGTATTTTCTCCCTAGCCTTAAAGTTTTGAAACTGGGTTATGTCATTCCTGTAAGCTTTCCTCCCGGGATCTCTTTCAGGTGATGAATGGTAGATTTTTTTCTATTTCTACTTTACCCTCTTGTTCTAGAACTTCAGGACAATTTTTCCTTAATAATTTCTTATAATATTGTATCAAGATTGTTTTTATGATCATAAATTTCAGGTAATCCAACAGTTCTTATACTGAATCTCCTTGATCTGTTCTCCAGATCAATTGTTCTTCTAAAGAGATGGTTCAGATTCTTTTATATTTGTATTTTTCCTAGGTTTATTATTTTTGTTGTTTTGTAATGTCATTCTATTACTCCTGCTCAATTCTAGTTTTCAAGGAGTTATTTTCTTCCTTAAGATTGGTTAATGTTCTTTTCATAATTTTCTTAGATTAATTTTATTTTTTTCATAATTTTTCTTCAATCTCTCTTATTTTATTTAATTGCTTTATAAGTTCTTTCTAGAACTCTTTTTGGGTTTGTGACCATTTCACCTTAATCTTTGAGGTAGGAGTGGCTTTTTTAACCTCACTATCTTCCTTTCAGTATGAATTCTGACCTTCTTTTACTCTATGGTAGCTATCTATAGTCATGTTCTTTTCCCTTTGTTTACCCAGGCCTCAGGTTATCCTTACTGACATTTTCTGAATTCTTTCTTGGGACCAACCTCAGGCATTCCTCTCCTTCACAGTTAGAGCACCTTTCCATGCTGTCCTCAAAATGTTCTTGCTCCCTACTGTACCACACTTACCAGGCATGTACTTCTTCCTGCCCATCCACAGCCACAGTGTGGAATCATTTCTCATCAGCACTGCTGGACCTGGCATATGGAAATGGGAGAGGGGAGGTTGTCCTTAAATCTTTCCCCACTCAGCCTCTGCTGTTCCCTAGATAAAAGTTTGTGATGTGAAAATTCATGAGGTGAAAGTTCCTGAGGTGAAGTTTCTTGAGACATAGTCTACTTCTGAGATGAAGCTGCCCCTAGATCTGTTGTTTGTTGATTCAACAGTCTATCTGGAGGTGTTTCCACTTCACTCAGGCCCAACCTAAGCCCGTGGAAGTCATATCTTTCCTGAGGTCCTCTCAAATGGTTTTAGGAAAACCACTGCTTTACACCTTTACTTTTACTGCTCTACATTTATTTCATGGTGATGTTTTGACTGTTTGTGGAGGAAATATGGAGAGCCTAGAAGTTTCTGCCCTACTCTGCCATCTTCCCAAAACACCCTTTTCGGCTTTTATTTTCTTCAGTATTTTTTGTGGTCTCCTTTAGCATGCTGTTGACTTGTTTTTCATGATTTTCATGTATCACTCTCATTTTTCTGCCCAATTTTTCCTCTACTTCTCTTACTTGATTTCCAAAATCCCTTTTGAGCTCTTCCATGGCCTGAGACCAATTCATATCCTTCTTGGAGGCTTTGGATGTCAGAGCTTTGATTTTGTTTTCTTCTGAGTTTATGTTTTGATCTTCCTTGTCACCAAAGTAAGTTTTTATAGTCTGATTTTTTTCCATTGTTTGCTCATTTTCCCAGCCAATTACTTGACTTTATAACTCTTTGTTAAGGTAGGGCTCTGCTTCCAGTGTGGAAGGCAAACTGCACCAAACTTCAGGGGTTTTGTGCAGCTATTTTCAGAGATACTTCTAGGGACCTGTAAGTCTTTGGTTCTCCCAAGGTGATATGATCTAAGGAGAGGTGTTTCCTTTTCTCCTGGCCTGAGTTCTGGTCTGTGAGAGACCACTAGCACTCTTTTCTGCCCTGGAACTGCGAGAAGGACTCCTTCTTCACTGCTGCCATAAGCTCTGCTATGCCAGTGCTCCTCCTCACCCCAGGCCTGCCTCCCAGGACTGTGACCTGGGCAAAGCAACAGAATCCTGCCTCAGTGCCAGCAAAGAGACCCCTGTAATCTCCTTCTGATTAGTTGTTCAATCCCCTTACCATCTGTGGGCTGAGAGCTCCAGAAGCAGCCATTGCCACTGCCACTGCCCTGGGGATTTGCTGTGGCCCAGGCTGGACTGTGCTCTTCTCTCACCCAGGTCTGACAGACCTTTCTTACTGACCTTCTATGCTGTCTTTGCCATTTGTGGGTTGAGAAGTCTGGAAACCATCATAACTGCTAGTGATTCAGTCCCCTGAGGCCTGCTCCAGGTTTGCTGGGGCCTGATCTGGGCTGGCATGGCCTGTGCTGGACTGGGCTCTTCTCTCAGCCTGGTGCCGCAGACCTTTAGTGTCGACCTCCCAGGTTGTCTTGGGCTGAAAATTTGTTTGGCTCTGTTTTTTTTTGCAGGTTCTGCTACTCTAGAATCTCTTCAGAGTCATTTTTTACAGGTATTTGGAGGGTATTGGAGGAGAGCTCAAGCAAGTCCCTGCCTTCACTCCACCATCTTAGGAGCGCCCCCAACAACCTCCCCTTTTAGCTTTTAAAGGCTTTCAAAACCTGGTACTAATCTCTCTTTCCAATCTCATTTAATTTTACTTCACATTCCATACTCTGATCTCTCCAAGTTTGCCCTTTTTCTTCCTCACTCATTTTTTTCCATCTCCCATCTCATGCATTTGCACTGAACACACTCATGCATTGAAAGTATTTTTTCCTGACCTCCACTTCATAGAATCCCTGTTTTCAAAACACAGTTTATACCCTACCTTCTACATGAAATCTTTCCTCTACTCCAAAAGTGCTTGTACCTTCCTTCTACTCTACCTTCTATTTAACTACTTTATGTTAATTTAATTTATTCTTTTTACCTTTATCATATACATTTTATATATATTCTTATTGTCTTCTACACTTGAATGGAATGCCTATCACAACACATATACATAATAGGAATTTAATGAATGTTTGGTGACAAATTGATAATTCTTTTTCTTTGACCTTACATTGAGTGAATATTTAATGAATTTCTTTTTCCATTATAATTTGTCCTCTTTTTCTTACAATATGGATACCAGCCTTTCTTCTTTTAACAGACTATTTCATGTTCTAATTGGATTTTTTTAACTTTTCTCATCTACAGGAGAGTGCCACCTTTATTCAATAGAAAATGGTCATTTTTGGCCAAAAAAAGGTCATTATAAGGAAGATGAAGATATAACAGTTCAATGTAATTATGGCTACAGTCTTCCAAATAATCACAACAAAATTACCTGTACCAAACAAGGCTGGTCTACTGAAACAAAATGTAAAAAGATCAGTAAGTAACCCTACCACATTAGAACCATCAATGTATATTACATTTATTTTTAAAAAGCAAATCAAAGATGGCATTGACCACCTTTGTGCCCTGGACCTCCCCAGGAATCATTTGACTCCTTAATATTTTGGTTTCATCCACCTTCCAAAACTGTTCCAACACTGTGTGTCTGAATTCCATTCTGTCTGAACATTTCAGCCATATTCAAGCACCACTTGTTTCTCCTACTGTCAAACTAGTTCCATGTGTTAGAAATCAGACATGTGTGCATCTTTCAGCAATCCTTAATAGTATAACTCCTTTGCTTCCAGTTGTCTTATGACCACCTGTCAGAAGTTTAACATGCAGTAGCTCAAGAAAAGGAAAATAAAATCTGTGAAAGCCATCTTCTTTAGGTTTCTCCAACTACACTGTCATCTTTGACTGAGGAAAAACATTGTGGGAAAAGAAGCCTGGGTGAAAAGACACCTGAGGGAACAGGTGTTCTGCAGCAAAACACAAAGCAAATTGCTCAGCAAAATCACAGAATATTTCTGGAAGAGGCAGAACTGATGAATTGGTGACCCCTCCTGAAATACCACAGCAGGAACCTCAAAGTGTAGGCCCAACACAGAATATTTGGTACAGAACTAGTGGAACTCTTTCATCGTGTGTAGATCTTTACATCTCCATACAAAGATGAATAAGGCAAATGGTTGAAACAGCAACAGTACAAAATACCAAAATATATCAGACTTATTAGCAAATGACTGTTTATTCACTATATTGTGCTTTGTCGGGGAAAAACTTTAAAAGAATATGGTCTATATTAAATATATATTTTAGATTCACTTTTTTTGTTCTTTTTAACACCAGTTCATTATGTTTATTCTTTCCTTCAGCAATCATTTATCAAGGGCCTACTAAGTGCCAGGCACAGAGGGTTCAAAGAGGATGAAAAGGCTCTACCTTCACAGGGCACAGATCCTTGTGAAGAGAAGCAACACATACCCAGAAAAATTAAATACAAATATATGCAGACAGGCTTCCTATTGGAGGTAGCCCTTTGAGCTAAGCTCTAAGGAAGATAGAAATTTTGTAAGGAAGTGAAGGAGAGAGAGTATTCCAGACCTAGGGCATAGCCTAAGCAGAGACACAGGGAGAGAAGTTTGGAGGTTGGGCACAGGTTATAGAGTAAGAAGGTTGGTTTGGTTGTCATATGAGTGTGTGCAGAATGATGTGCAGCAAGCTTGGTTTCTTTGTAAATGTGGCTTTGTTCATTCAGAACAGGAGGGAATGGAGACACTTGGATTATACAGGCTGAATTTTAATATCTTTTCTTTAAAGAACAATAGGGCATATGATGAGCTGGGGAAATATTTTGGTGCTCCATCTATGGCACAAAAATTTTGAATGAACAATATTGACTTTGCTCCCCACCCAAGACTATATAAGAGATTATCTTTCAATTCTTATCTTGCTTTGTCCTTTTTTTTTTGGTAAAGGAAGATGAGTTTCTCTCTCCTAACCTTGGCTTTCTATGGTAGTCATTGGTGGGGCCTGGGGAGCATTCAAGGAGAAGGGTCACTCCTTGTCCTGTTTTTCTTTCCACACACAGAGTAACAGTTGATAGAGGAAATAATTTTTTTGTAGTAGCAGAAGTAAGGCACTTCAGCTTTAATGTTCTCCATATATAAAATATGTCATAAATCAGGGAACTATAAGGACATTTGTTTGAGTTTTTCTTCAACTATCAACATTAAAATATACTGCAAACAAGTGATTCTAAAATGGCAAATCCCTCAAATCAGTTTAACATCTCTCTCCATTACTCAGTTCCCTGTAGCAAAAAAAAAATAGTTTGACATAAAAATACTATTTGCCATTGAATTGGTGGTCTTAAAAAGGAGCTCTGAGAAATCATTTTGAGAATTTTTCTGTAAGGCTGGCTCTCTTTAGATTAAATTGAGGACAGTTGTCAAGGGTCTTAAAGTTGAAGCTAATGTGGGTCAAGAGATCTGTTTTCAAAAATGTCTACAACCTTAACTTGCCCTTACCTAAAAGCTGCATACATATATTATCTGTTGGAACAAAATAATTTCTTGAGTAGAGTTATTATTTCTCAGTAGGATAAAGTTGTCTCTATACTACTTCTCCTCCCTAGGGCTGAAGATTCCTTGGATATGACAAGGTCTTCTGAAACAGCCCTAAGGAAAGAAGGTGGAGAGACATGTCTCCTAAAGTGAAAGAAACAGTTAAATCAGAAAGGAAGAGATATGGATGAGGATCAAAACATGATTCAGATAAAATTCACAGTTATTTTGTCCATACAAACACTACAATTTCTTCATGTCAATCCTCAGTACAAAAATGCATCACCAGATGTATTGCCATCTTCAGCTCAGAAGAAGGAGATATGGGGAAAAAAACAAAGATAAATGGGAAGAGAGAAAGTTGAAGGAAGGGAAAGAAAAGAGGCAGAAACTGAAAGATAAAGAGGAAAAGAAAGAGAAAGTAAAAAAGATCAGGGAAAGAGGAGAAAAATGTAGGCATATAGGTGGAAGCTATGGAAGGGAGAGATAGAGGAAAAGAAAAAAGGAGAAAGGCATAGAGAGATAGTAAAGAAGAAAAGAGAAAGGGGGAAGAACAGAAGGGGAGAAAGAAGAGGTGTTGAGATGCTTTGAATTATTACACTTCCATTCTAATAATCATTTATGAAATGTTTGTGCACAAAATGATGGAAGGTGATGGGGATACAAAACTTAAATTAAAAAAATCTCCTACTTTTATGTAATTCACATTCTGTTGGGGGAATAGAACATGTAACTATGTCCATGATAATTTCAAGAGAGTGGCCAGAGTGAACAATTAAAAGGATCAGAGGGGCAGCTAGGTAGCACAGAGGAGAGAGCACTGATCCTGGAGTCAGGAGTACCTGAGTTCAAATATGACCTCAGACACGTAACACTCACTAGTTCTGTGACTTTGGGCAAGTTACTTAACTCCAATTGCCTCACCAAAAAAAAAAAAAAAAGAATCAGAAAGGCTTCCCTTAGGAGATGGCAGTTGAGCTGAGCTTTGAAAGGCATGATGTTATTTTAGTGTTGTTACAAAAACTAAGAAACCTGACATTTGGGGAAGATGTTAAAATAAGCATTGCTGAGAAATAAAGGGGCAACCTCTCAGGGCCTTTCCCAAAATACATAAAATATCTATTCAGGATATTTATTTGATTGGTGATCTGTTTTTAGTGATTTGGCATTGCAGAGATAGGGCTTAAGAGATGAAATTTTAAAAAATAGATATCTATCTAGTATTGAAATCCCTTCAAATGACCCACTAAAACACTCAGAAGATGTGAGGTCCTTAAAAGATAGTCCTCCTTACTTACGTTACCCTTTTTTTCCTACTTCCACATATATACCTGTACTACAGTGCTAGCTATCCCAAATCTGAGCCTTCAGAAATGTATTTTCCAGGGCTAAATTAAGTGTAGGGAACAGGTCATTTCCCCAGGGTAATCCATATTTCCCTAGACTTAGACTCCACTATAGATGACAATAATAAAGTTATATGCAATTAAAAAGGACTTCAATTACATAAGTATATGAGGGAGACACATGACAGAATATCAGGTAATGTAGATGGAATCTGGTTGTTTTAGTGGACTACAACACCAGTGGGTCCATACTGCGACACAGCAGCTAAAAGATTTAATTCAGTCTTAGGCTGCATTAACAGAAACATAATAAAACTGGAGGAAGGGGGAGGAGATGTATGAGAAGGCTGGCACTCCTGCTTTACTCAGTCCTGGTGTATTAAGTTCACTTTTAGGTGTCATATTTTAGGAAGGACATTGAAACTCAAAAGAGAATGAAAGGGGAGATGAGAGGATTGGAAGCTATGTCAGAGGAAGATCAGTTAGCCATCATCATGAGTGCTTCTACTGTGTTTCCTTTCAGTCTCTTCTTAACTCTAATCTGGTTTTTACTTATCTGAAATTATTCTCTCCAAAGTTACCAATGACTTCTCATTTGAGAAATCTAATGACCTTTTCCAAATCCTAATTATTTTGACCTCTCTGGCAACATTTGACTTATTGATCACTTTCCCTACTTGGATAATCTTTCCTGTAGGTTTTCATAACATTCCCCTCTTCTTGTTTTTCTCCTACCTCTCTGAATACTCCTTATTCATATCACAGCCACTAATTATGAGAGTTCACCATGGCTCTACCTTCTCCCTCTTTTATTTTTTCCTTTATAATATTTGGTGATCTCATTGGCTTCCCTGAGTTTAATTATTATCTCTATGTAGATGACATATATCTATATATATTCATACATACATATAAATATATATACACACACATACATATATATATACATATATACATATACATATATACATATACATATACATATACATATATATATATATATATATGCAGCCCTAGTATCTTTTCTAAGCTCAGGTCTCAAATTACCAACTATCTTTTGGATATCTTAAATTAGATATTTCGTAGCAATATCAAACTCATTATGTCCAGCACAAAACTAATTATGCTCCTTCTCTGAAAACATTCCCTTCTTACAAACTTCCCTAACATAGTCAAGGGCATTATCATCCCCACAGTTACCCAGGCTCACAACCCAGGTGTTTTCAACAGCTCATTCTCTCTAAGCCCATATATTCAATCTCTTGCTAGATATTGTCATTTCAACCTTTACAACATCTCTCATATACATACCCTTTTCCCCTTCTCATAGCCTATACCGCAGTTAAGACCTTAATTGCCGTTTGCCTGGACTATTGCTTTAGCCATCTAGTTGATCACCATGCCTTAAATATTTCACCACTCCAATCTGTCCTCTAATCAGCATAAAAAGTTTTTTTTTAAATCAAGTCACTGATCTTCTCAATAAACTCTAATGGCTCCCTATTATGTCCAAGATTAAAGATAAAGTCCTATGGTATTTAAAGTTCTTCACAGCCTGGCCTTTTCCCTACTTTTCTAATCTTCCATTTTATTCCCTTCTACACACTATAGGATCCAATTAGGCTGACTTTATTCACTGTCTGTGTCTTCATGCTTGCTGTTTCCCTTGTGCCTGGAATGCTGTTCTTCTTGCCCCTATCTCTTAGTTTCTCTCTCTTCCTTTGAGATCCAGCTCAAATTCAACCTTCTGCAGGAAGCCTTTTCTAGTCACCCCAGCTTCTAATTAATTCCTCTCTGAGATTACTTTCCATCTCATGTTGTATGTTCTTAGTTATTGGTGGGTTAGGGACACTTTTTTTGTCTTTCTTTGTGTATGTAAGGTGAACTGATATAAGTTCCCAGGATCACGGCCATAAACAATTTCACTGTGCTTGCATATTATTATATAACCATAGATAATATAAACATTTGAGTTTAACCTGTAAACAGTACACTGTGCCTGCTCTATGCTGATATAACCAAAGCTATGGAAAATTTATGAGCTTCTGGTTGGCATGTTGCCTTCTTTGTCTGTTTATCTATAAATCAAATGAGCACTGATCAGTAAGCATAAAATGCGAAAGTGGAAAGCTGTGCTTGTCTCAGCCTGCTGCATCAAGAATTAGGGGGATGCTGTAGGAGCAGGTGCTGTTACTCTTACCAGCCCCTGTGAGAAGAGTAATTAGGCAGATGACGAAGGCCTCCCCTATCTCACCAGCCACCATAAGATGAATAATTAGATGAATGTTCCAAGGACTCATACTGTAAAGGTGAATGCTTCCTCTCATCTCTCCTGTCTCACCAGCCTCCATGAGAAGAGCAATTAGGAGGGTGCTGTAGGGGTTGAGTTCTCCCACCTCCTCCTAACTCATTGCCATTGGGAAGAATAAAGTAATATTATCCCCTTATCATGTCTTCGATGCTGTCCTTCTGTCTGCCCAGATCCAGAGAGAACCTGCTAGAGGCTGGAGCTGAGGCACTCATGACACTTTGTAACCCCATGGTTAAGCACAGTGCTTGGCACATAAGAAGAGTTTGTTTGCTAAATGGCTGAGTGTGAGGCAGGGATATCATGTGAAAGAGGGATTAAAACTGTTTTGATTGGCCTCAGAGGACAAAGCTAAAAGCAAGGAGTAAAGTTAGAGAAGACAAAGGCTCACTTGTGAGAAATAAGGTATGCGTGATGACTGTCAGACCTCTAGACAGGATCAGGGAGTTAGCCTGGGCTAGTCATTGCCGCCCACTGCTTCCCTGGTTGCAAGTCTTACTGAGGTGGCTTCTCTTACTACAGAAACACTCTCACAAGTAAAGACGCCACACAATAGAGTGTAAGGAGGAAGGTGTTTATTATGTTTATTACTATTCTCACGAGAAGTGGGTGCTCTACTCACCAGGAGTAGACATGCTATACAGGAACAAGAGCAGGCTTTTATAACAGTGATTTACTCCTGCTCCTCCCATCAGAATCTGGATTGGTCCAGATTCTTCCAGGTTACAACTCTTCTTTATACATCCCTAACATGTACTCCTTGATATGTCTCCAACCCGCCCCCCCCTTCCCATGAGCCTTATTGAACAAGTGCAGTATTGGGGGAATTCTAACCAGAGGATGATCCCTTGATCTCGAGCTGTTTGTCACATCTCAGCTCTCTTAGTTCTTTCTTGTTCAAGATGTGTGCAAACATCGTGTTTGCCAAACAATATACGCTTATCTACAAGCACATTCTTCTATCCACCTGGGGCTTTACCCTGTCTTAAGTTAAGAACATCTGTAGAAGCAAAACAGCTTAGTTCACAAAATTCCATCTCCTACAAGTATAAAGAAAACTTCTTAACAATTAATGCTATTAAAAACTAGAGTAGGCTGGCCTCCCAAGTAGTGAGTTCCCAATCATTGGAAGTCCTCAATGAGAAGCTTGAAAAACAGGTGTGGAGAGTGTTTTAGAGAAGATGACTACTCCAATATGAGCCAGAGTAGATTCATCCTATAGTCTTTTACAGCTCTGGAATATTATTATCCTGTGATTTCCAGTCCACAATCCAGTAGTTAGTTGCCTCAGTATATTTAAATCACAGTGGGGGAGAGAAATTCAATGCTGGACTAAATTAACTCTGTCTAGAGATTCTCATGTTGACAGATTGGTTTTGGGAACTCCTAGAAATTTCACGATTGCTTGAGGAAATATCACAGCCACCTAAGTTATACAGGATTCCCATGAAACACAAATGAAAACATTCCCTGCATCTAAATACCATGGGCAGGTCAGAACCGCCACCCATAGGCTCTCCCCAGTCTTCTGACCTTAATAATCTAGCAATCAGTATCTGTATACTTCCTCAGGGGTAAAGAAAGACTCAAGGACTAATCTATAGCTTCTTGACCTATAGTGAGAAAGTTCTCCAGCAATTTGAGGAGTGACCAACTGGTAACAGTGTTACCTTATCAAGGTCATCAATGAGTGAATCAGATTGGTTTTTATAAAATTAACTCCCTTTTTGGATGCCATTGTTTTATTTATTGCTTTTCTACAAAGACAGTAATGAGCCCATGTCAATAATTTGCTTATGATCCTTCCCTTTCAGAGACATGCACACTCAGAAATTATTTTGATAATGGATTTTTTTCTGAATCAAAAACATATTACCTTATCAACACAGCAGCAAAATATCAATGTAAAGAAGGATATGCAACAACAGATGGAAAAAAAGAGGGATTTATCACATGTGGGCAACAAGGGTGGTTGAATCAACCAAAGTGTATCAGTGAGTAATTTAATATTTTATTCACTATCTTCCTGAATGTAGTTAGGGATTCATATTCTACTGTATTTCACATCTAATGAGTGAATATTTTCATTTGATTCCATAAAATGCAGATATTGTCTAGATGATTTTATTTTAAATGCTTGTAAATTTGAAAGGCAGCCTAGAATAGCAGGAAAAAATACTAACAACACTGAACTGCTCTGTTCCTGGATGTCTGGTTCTGATCCTTTTTCACTGCTAACTAGTTGTGCAACCATAGGCAAGTTATTCAACCTCTCTAGGTCTCAGTTTTCTGGTCTGCAAAATGAGGAGTGTGGACCAGGAGATTTCTTTCAGCTCTATTTTTATATGTATTTATGATTGTAGTTCTTTTGTGGAAGACAAAACTTCCTCTATCCTATCCAAATTCTCTCCATGTAAACGTTCCTCCCTTTCACCAGTGTAATGAGGTTAGCCAAAATCAAAGATGCACTGCAGGAGATTCCTGGCAGGGCATCGAGGTCATTGGATTTTACTACTAGGCCTCTTGCATTCTCCTTTTTGGCTGCTCCCCTACCCCTTGTTCTCCAAAACTGGAAAACTGATCACTTACTCTCTAATAAAAAGAAAAGAAAAAGAAAAAGAAAGATGATTATATGTGGTGTGATAAAGAGTGGAGGTTAAAAGAAGGAGGGATGTGATTTTGTAACTTTCAGGTCTTCAATGGAACCAGCCAAATCCATGCCATTGATTCCACTTGGTTGGAGATCCTGGCACTTCTTATCATGGCTGTAGCATCAGAGAGGCCGACATTTGAAGGTTTGCTGAAGACCTAAGTACAGTCAGCATCCCCGTACCTCATGTTCTTTTATCCAGAAATGTGCTGGTGATTTTTAGGCACAGGGAGAGTTTAGCATAACGATCATTCATCTCAGTCTCCTTTGTCCATGCCTTAGACTTGGTCTTGCTGCTTACCTGAATTGCAGTCCATCTCCTTGCTGCCTCTTATAATCTCTAGTTTCCTTTGGAACACATCTCAAATACCACATAAAACCTTTTTTTGATACCCTCTAGCTGTTGGTGAATTTTCTTCCTAATCACCTTCTATTTTTGTGTGTGCTTGTGTATATGTACATATTGACTCCTCAATCAAATATAAACTCCTTGAGACAGGGATTATTTCATTTTTATTTTTATATTCTCAACTCTTATTGCAGAATCTGTTTCATAGTAAGTATCTAACAAACATGCTACAAATAAAGGCTTAATTTAGATCAAACTTTTTAGAGTCATTCCAGAGGTTCTAATCTTGAATAATCTCAGCTTGTGACACATTTCTTCAAAGTGAGAAATAGATAACAAGCATTTATCAATAATGCATTCTATTGCTTGGAGTTCTAAGGAATAAATTTAAGCTCAGATTTTACAGTATAGCTTTAATTTCTTAGTTTGATATTTGAATTTTACTTAAGATTTTGGCAATCATCTAGTCTATTCCTACTCATTTTATTCAAACAGATGAGCCACCTGAGGCCCATGGATCTTAAATGATTTTATTCAAGATATCAACATTAGTAGGTAGCAAATTGGGGGTTTCAACACTTAACCTTCTCACCAGTCCAAGGATCTAAGACATCCCCAAAGGCCTCATGATGGAAAATGCCATCCCCATCCAAAGAAAGAACTATGGAGTTTGAATGCAGATCGAAGCATACTATTTGCTATTTTTTTCCTTCCATTGTGTTGTTTCCTCTTTCTGGTGGTTCCTCCCATTGGTTGTAATTCTTACTTAGAACATCACTAATGTGAAAATATGTTTAATAGGAATGTATAGCCTATATCAGATTTCATGCCATCTTGGGGAGGGAGGCGGGGAAAAAGAGGGAGAAAAATTTAAAGCTCAAAAACTTATGGAAGTAATTGTTGATAAATCAAAATAAATTGATTTTAAAGAGAAATTATAAAGAAAATGAGGTTTCTGTTCTTTGTGATTTATATGCTAAGTCCACAGGATATCATATAAGTATTAGACATGTATTCCTTTTTGATTTTAGGTTTCTCTTAGAGAAATTGGCGTATTCATACCATATGAATCCTTTTCAAAATTCTGTATTTAATTCAGACACAGTTTTATGAAATAGATCCTAAATAGTTCAGAAAATGTTGTCCTCTGGGAAACAAGCACTTGGATGAAGTCCTAAAATGGATGTCTAGAAATCCAGGTTTCCATAAAATAAAATGGCTGAGTATTTGTTTATTGTTTAATATGTAGTACTTTATCCCATTTTTATTTTAAAAACTCAGCAATGATGCCGTGGCTTTCTATAAGATCTTATTTGCTGAGTTGAAATATACATGAGGTTACATCAGAGATAAAATTCTAACTTTGTTTTTTGGGTTAGAAATTTGTGATATTCCACAATTTGAAAATGCCAGATACAATGGAAACAAGACATTTCTGAATCCTAATGAAAGATTAGAATATGAATGCCTGGATGGATATGAAATCACACGTGGGCAAACTATAGGTGTCAAAGTATGTGATGTTGATGAGTGGCCTAGAACACTTGAATGCTATGGTAAGTTACTTTTCCTCAGTTTAAAAAAAAAACAAACATTTTACAGAGATTCATGAATGGGTGGAATCCAACCGCTAATGTTTTCAATGAACAAAAAAAGCATTTTTTTCAGTCCCTGAATTTCACTTTAATGGATAATTTCATGAGCAGCTAATGTTGTCTGATCTATAATTCTAAATCATTATGGCTAGAATGAAAAAGAAATTAAATCATTTTTAAGACCCACACTTTGAATGATTTTGGCTTCATTAATCACCATCCCATGAAATATGCACAGCATTTTTAAATGTGCCCTCTTTAAATATTTTGAAAAATTTATACCAACAGCATGCAGTTTTAATTACAATTTATAGTCTTGCAAGTTAATTGCATTTTAAACTAATTTAATTTGTTGTTAAAGTTAATTAAATTCATTGGGAAAATGTGACTTGATGCAATTGAAAGGATAGAACAGATGTGGTGATTTAGTGGTGTCTTTGAAAACGGCTTAAACTCTGAAGCATTCTTAACCTTGTGCTTAACCAGCTTTTAAGTCTATACCTTACCCCCACTCTCCACTTCTGAAAACCACCCAACTAAGTGGAAAGAAGATCACCATGCAAGTAGACTGGCCAAAGAATGAATCAATAGTTTCTAACCTAGATCTTCTAGACTCCAAGTTCTCTTCTCTATCTGTGATGCCAAAATAGTATGCAACTTCCTGAAAGACAAGAAGTTGCATCTAAATGAAAAGATGTTTTCCAATTCTTCTTGGAGAGGCAAAATGAAAAAAAAAAGCATTTATTAAGCACTTACTATGTGCCAAAGATTTTACTAAGGGCTGAAGAGATAAAAGTGAAGCAACACAGTCCCCACTCTCAATCATGTCACATTCTAAAGAGAAAGACAAGCTATGTATGAGGGTTCAGATTCAGGACAAGTAGAAAGGCCTAATGGTCTTATAGTTGAGTCAAGGTAGATGTTAATGCATCTTCTTATTGTCATTTCTGTTGATAAAACCACATATTTCAGTTATTGGAACATCTGATAACATTAATATTTTGGCAGTAAGACCTTTGTTTTCCAAGTCATTAGCCATTGTTCCAGAGGTAAAAGAAGCTACAGTACCTACAGCAGAAATTGCCAGGTCAAATTTCTACTAGAGTTCTACCTCTGGACAATCAGACTAATTCCAGAATTAATGCTCATAATGTAAGCTGTTTCCTGCAGAATTATGTTGGGAATGAATTTTTAATGATCAATCTAAAGATTCAGCAAATAAGAATGCTTTGGGGTTCACTATGGGCATTCAGATGAGCCAAAGGATAATATTTGAACATTAAAACCATTTTCCAAATGTTTATTAATCATTCCCTAAAATAAATAAATTCAGATGTTAATGTTCACTATCAAAATGTCCTCTTTGTTCTTATGTGGATACCAATACCACTAGGAGCTTCTCTAAGATTCTTTATTGAGGAGTCTCTTTACCTATAAGCTATTGTGGGTTTGGCAGTCTTTGTACCTGCCAGCTACTATTGGTACCATCTTCACTAATTAAGCTGTCATTTTTATTTCTTTATGCCATTGTTATTGTATTTGACATTAGAAATTGCCAAAGTCATTCGTATTTTATGACTCAGGTATTATTGTTCTGTCACAAATCAACTGTGCTTTAAATGTGACTTAAATTCACTCATTAATATGGTTTGTCATTTCTTGAGAATGGCACAAAATTTTTTTCCCATTGGAAAACATGTCCAATTTTATAAGTGAGTTGTTTAGATCATGTCTGAATACAATTAAAAATATAAGGTGTTATAAAAAAAATAACTTTCCAGAATCTTATCTTCAAGTATTATACAATATATTTGTAGTTTAAATCAGAGTGTATATGTATGTGTATATACATGCACATATATACATACACACACTGTGTGTATATGTATGGTATGTTGTGTTTGTTTTCAATAACTATAGGACTATCTATTGTACAATATATTGTATAATGATGGGTTCTGGTTTTGAATTTTTAACTAATGGCTGTGTGATGTTTTAATTTACTCATTAGTCAAATTATGGGGTTGAAGTATATGTTCTCTAACTATAAAAATATCTTTTCTTCTATTAAACAAACCTATAATATTATACTTAAATGATAATCCAAAGCATGTATTTTCTAGATTGTTTTCCCCAATTGTTTCTGCCAATGCTGAAATTGAATTCTAACCCAGTTATTTAATTCTAACCCACTCACAGATCTTTATCTTTATGTAATTTTTGGTTTCCTATGCATGCTCTCTCCTTCCCCTTGCCATTAGATTATTCAATCTAATTTATTTGAGAAAAAGAGACCTTTATCTGCCTCTTATTTACCAGAATGCCTTATGTAAAATTGCACAATATTTAACTAGATTGTTAGCTCTTTGAAGGTAAGAAGTAAATTTTCTGATAGCAGTGTTTTAAATCATAGTAAGTTATTTGTTGAGCAAACAATAAACTTCTAAAAATTAAAACATTGATTTTGTTATTACTTTATTTTTAGAAAAATCATGTCATCTACCTATTCTACAAAGAAATTTATATCCTGATCCCAAGCAAGACAAATATAAAGTTGGAGATGTGCTGACATTTCGCTGTTTGAATGGATTAAAACTAGTTGGACCACTTTCAGTGCAGTGTTACCACTTTGGCTGGTCTCCCAGGATTCCTACATGTGAACGTAAACATTTCTTCTCAAATTGGTGATAACAACAATGGAATTACTAACATAATCCTGGCACAATTTTGTATCTTTGCTGTCATTTTCATATAGTGTATTTTAGGGTAGCATATAATCATTTATATGTGCCTTAGAAGATAGGAATTAAAGTGTTGGAAGAGGAGTGACAAGGACATTCTTGATCAAGACTATATCTTCCCTTCAACATTTGAATTTTGCTATTTGTAAAGAAAAATGGCAATCCAAAGAAGCCAGTGGAGGTTATGAGGCATTTTCGTATCTATACTGAGTATGCAAGTTGGGTTTCTTATTTCTTTAACATTATATATGGACTAGAGGAACTAACAGGAATTATCTCATAGTCAGTCCATATTAGCTTGGTTAAATTATTTCTTCTGACTTTATTCATTAGCATGTGCCTAAGAGTGAAGGAAGTCCATGGTGCGAGTAATTCAGAGTTGGGGTATGGTGAAACATAAGCACAAATTGGATAGGAAACCAAAAAAGCCCACAACTATGTCAATTTAATAGGTACTAGAAGAAGCTCTGTGGTAACTAAGTACATAGGTTCTTTTGGATTAAATATTCTTCCTGTCCATCTGGGATTAATAGGTGTGGAAAAGAATTCAGTCAATGAATTTTAAAGTCAATGTTAGCCTATCACAGCATAAATTAAATGTATAGTGATTTCTCAACTGATAGGATATAGAACTCACTAATAATTAGGAGTTGACTCATTGCTTTGTCTGTGTCTGGGTAGATCTGTTGGTAATTTGTTTCCAAAAGACAGCTAGACCACTTCCCCTAGGCTTAAACACTCCCTATAGGCATGATGGCAATTGCTCTCCTATTTGTATATTGTTTTTGGATTCTCATATTGTGCACAGAAAGTTAATTGAAAAGTCTATAAGTTGCTCAGTCATAACTGACTATAAGGATGACAGTGCATAGGGTGACTGCAGGGAATAGCTAGAAAAATGAATCACTAAAATAAATGATAATGGAAGGATCTGATAAAGTCTCTTATGCTACTCATGCAATATATGGAGGTGTGGGAGTAGGTGCCAGTGAAAGCAGATGCATTCAGAGTTGTTTGAATTGCTGAATGCAAAAAGTATATTGCAGTTTAGGGATCTGTGCTTGCCCCTGTGCTAACACTTTTATTAGTGACTTGGATAAAGGTCTAGATACACTGTTCATGAAATTTGTAGAGAACACAAAACTGGGCAGTATTGGTAGTTAACACACTGGATGACAGAAGTGAGTATAGTTCAGTGAAAAGATTACTAGATAAAGTCAGAGGACCCAAGTTCAAATCCCAGCTCTGCTATTTACTACTTGTGTAACATTAGGCAAATCATTTAAGCTCTTTGGTCATCAAATGTAAAATGAGAGGTCTGGGCTCAATGACTTCTGAGATACCTTCCAATTCTAAATCAATGGTCTAGTAATCTATACAATTATAAAACTACTTGCATCACCTTTTTGTTACAGAGAATGTAAAATGTTGTGAGCAACCACCTGAAGTTGTGAATGGGACACTTAAGGACTCAAACAATAGGACATATTGTCACAATGATGTAGTAGAATATAATTGTGATCTTGGATTTATGAGGAGAGGACCCAAGAAAATACAATGCAATAATGGAGAATGGACAATCTTACCCACTTGCATTGGTAATGCATTGTAAACTGTATTTTAAATAATTCTGTGTCATCCATATGTACACATATATTCATAGGTGAATGAAGAGGAAGAGGGTTTTTTTGATTTTTTTGAAAGATAATTTAATCATATTTGTTTCTAATTTATGTAGAGGAAGAAAGAAGATGTGCAGAAGTACCTAAACCTGTCCATGGTCATGTTCAGACTACTAACGTGTCATATTCTCATGGGTCTTCAATTGAATATGACTGTGATGAAAATTTTACAATGGTTGGAAGCAAAAGAGTTACATGTAATCAAGGAAATTGGACACAACTCCCTAAATGCATTGGTAAATGAGACTATTTTTCAACTAGAGACTTGATATTGTCAACAAATATTTGCATTTCTTTGTGATATTAAAAAAATTATAACTGTGAAATATTCAAAGAATGTCTCATAATTAGTCAATATTAATTAATGATACATTAATTAGTTAATTATAAATTGTTGTGGCATAATAAACTTATGTATGTTTCCAAATTCGGTAAGCATGTACTACTCCCAGAGTCATTTGCACTGTGGTGTTTCCCTATTTAAAGCATTATAAACCTAAATTTCATCTATAAACTATTTATCTCATATAAAACCTGTCCACTCATTTGACAAATTTTCATGTCATGAAGTATTTCTTAAAATTAAAACATCAATAAAACCTTTCACTTATTGTATAGTTGATGGAGTAAAAAAAAAGCTTCATAAACACACTTATGTGAAAATTCATTTCAAAGGTATCTTACTTGTTGGACCACATACTAGTCTCTAAAACAAGAAACAAACTTTAGAACAGAACTCCTTAAACTTTTGTACACTTGCTGAAAATTATTTTGTGTGTTTAAGTGGCCAAAGGAAACTGTTTGTCCTCCTATGTAGATTGTCTTGTTTCCTGCAGATCCCACAGCTGTCAACAATGCTCTTTCATGAATTTTGGTTGTCTTCAAAAGCATTAGAAGAAAGTATTGGGGCTGAAGGTACAATTGCTATTGCAATTGATATTGCAATATAATGGGCAAAGTGTGAACTTAGGCTGGTGCCTTTACTTCTTACATATCCTAATTGTTGGTATGTGAAAATGGAGGTTAAATAACAATGCTGTTCCTCCTGAGACAGGAAAAGTAAAGGAATGTGATTACAGAAAATATTTTCCCCTTCATTGGCAGCCTCTGATCCCTCCCTCCTACCTTCAAACCCTTCTCTAATTTGACTGAATTATATTAGGTGGCCTGGAGAATAGAATGTTGGACTTGAAATCAGCAAAACTTGAGCCTAAGTCTTGTTCCAGACACTTATTAGCAAGCCTTCTAACCTCTCCTAGTTTCACTTTTCTATATTGACTCTATAAAATAAGGATAATAAAGGCAGCTTCTGGGATTATTTTAAGGATAAAATGAGATAATATGTGAAGTTCTTTGTGAACCTTTAATGTGCTATGTAAAAGCTAGCTTTCAATATATTTTTTTGCCTGATATTTCCATAAAGGGGTGAAAAAGTATGGAACTTTCCTAAAGAGTAAACAAATCCTAAATTCCTGAGTTTTTCCCCTGCTTCTTTTCTTCAGAGAGAGCCCTTCCTCTATCTTGCTCTCTGCCTACATTAGTACAAACAACCAACTGAAGTTCACAACTCATCTTTACAACCATATGAGAATATTTCAGAATACAAACTATAAAAAGCCATGTCAGTTACAGGTGTCACCTTATATTCTTTCCTTATTTTTTTAAAAAAATATTTATTTATTCTTAATATTTTTTTAAATTTTGAGTTCCAGATTCACTCTCTTCCTCCCACCCTTTCCCCACCCACTGAGAAGGCAAACTATATCATTTAAACATGTGAAATTATGCAAAGCATATTTCCATATTGGATGTATCACCAAATAAACAAAACATCAATTCAAATGTAGAGTTCATCAGTTTTTTCTCTGAAAGTGGTTAACATTTTTTCATCATAAGACCTTTGGAATTATCTTAGATCATTGTATTGATCTTCTTTGTACTCCCCTTTTATATGATAAAATTTTCCCCATTCTACCTCTCCCTTCCCCCTTCTCCCAGTGCATTCCTCTTTCTCATCCTTATGTTTTTTAAGATCATCCCAACACAATTGACTCACTATGCCCTCTGTCTAGTGACTCAATCATGCCCTCTGGCTATATATACTCCTAACTGTCCTTTTAATGATAAAGTTCTTAGGAGTTACATGTATCATATAGGAATGTAAATAGTTCAATTTTATTGAGTTCCTTATGATTACTTTTTCATGTTTACCTTTTTATGCTCTTCTTGAGTATTTCGTTTGAATGTCAAAATTTCTATTTGTCTCTGGTCTTTTCCTCATGAATCCTTGAAAGTCCTCTATTTAATTAAACTATATTTTTCCCCTAAAGGATTTACTCATTTTTGTTGGGTAGGTGATTTTGGTCATAATCCTAACTCTTTTGCCTCCCAATATAACATATTCCAAGCTCTCCACTCCTTTTAGGTTGAAGCTGCTAAATCTTGTGTGATCCTGACTATGGTTCCATGATATTTGAATTATTTCTGGTTGCTTGGCCTTTTTCATCCAGAATGCTTGGACACATTTTTCTTCCATGATGTTATACTAAGTTTTAGCAGATGGTTTTAGTCTTTACTGTAATCTTTTATCATTTGCCTTTGGGCAAAAAAAGAACATTCACATTTCGCCTCTCTATTATAATGACAGCTGCCAAGTTGTGTGTAATCCTATCAATGGCTGCTCGATATTAGAACTATTTCTTTTTGTCTGCTTTGCAATGTTTTTTTTCTTTGATTTCTGAAGTTATGTATTTGGTTATGATGTTCCCAGGAGTTTTCATTTTGGTATTCCTTTTAGGAAATTATCAATGGATCTTTCTGATTTTTATTTTGCCTTCTTGTTCCAATAGATCTGATCACTTTTTATTTATGATTTTTTAAAATATAACATCAGGTTGTTTTTTTTTAATTTTTTGGTCATGATTTTTAAGCAATCTAAATATTTTTAGATTTGTTCTCCTTGACTTGTTTTTCAAGCCTTTTTTTCAGTTTTATCAATGTTTTGTTTTTACATTTACAGATTACTCTTTTTAAAAGGTCTCTTGAAACAAAGTAAAACAGTTAAGTAAAATTAATAATTCATCGACCTTATCTGAAAGTTCATGCAATATTTCATATCTGTAGTAGCCCCTACCTCTCCATTTTTTATATTAACAGAAATATATTTATTTTCTCACCCTCCATCCCCATCCCATTTTTCAAAAAGTAGAAAAGAAAAAACTTTCTTGTAACAAATATGTATAGAGAGATTACTATATTCTTTTGGCTTTAGCTCTTGGTCTTCTCCCAGTTCTTAGTATTTCCTTATTTTATTCTACTCTTAATGTTTTTTCATTGTGTTTAGGTCATTCATATCTTCAGCCTCTGTTTCTGAATTAGGACTTTGTGTTTAGGTGAGACTTTGCTCCTTCCTGTTGTCTTTGATGGTATGAAGAGGCTTTCTTGGCCTTGAATGTGGAGTCTAAGACTAGTCCCCACCTTTAGCAGGAATTTTTGGGCTTTGAACTCAGAGTCCTGGTGGCTATAGTTTGGTTGTGACTTTGACCCCTTATCTGTCTGCTTCTAGTTACTTGATCCCAAATTGAGAGTTGGCTCAGTAGTTTTCTTTGATCCTGACAGGTTCCAAACATATGTTTCTGAGCATAGCAAGTTTCCTTAGAAATCCCAGGTACTTTGCTTCCCAAGTGCTACCTTGGTCCTTTCTCCTGCTGAGATTTGTGCTATGGTTTGGCCTATTGGCTGCCCAGGTTCTGGGCTGCCCAAAATCTCTGACCCTGACTCCTGCCCTGGGTATCCTTTCCTTGCACCTTTTTTGTTCCAACTAACTTGGGTTATATCTATTCAAAGCTGAGAGGAGTCTGGAAAGATGGCAAAGTAGGTCAGAAAATTCCAAACTCTCAAGATTTTTTCCCTACAAAAGAGATAAAACAACACCTCAGGGTGAACAAAGTGCTGGTAAAAATAAATAAGAATAGGGGCACAACAGGGACCCCTCTGGGACAATCCAAGAAGATCTGAAGAAAAATCCCAGGAAGAGGTTTGTCCCTGTGAAGAGTAAAAACTTCCAGGCCAGGGTCCCCTCAAAACTTAAAGCTGCTTAAACAACAAGTGGCAAGCCCTGGGGTTAGCTGGGTTGAGAGGCTACCTAGGCCCTAACCACAGGAACTTTTATCCCCGGGATAGAGAGGAGAGTTGGGCATCTGAACCAAGGAAGATTGAGAGACCCTCTGCTGACAAGGAACATCGGACCCATCTGTGCTGCAGAGAGCTTCAGGGGTGAGAAGAAACAATGCTCATGCCCGGTGAATGCAGAAGCAGTGAGGTGGGATGCCACTAGCTATGGGCACGAACAGGAGGCTGGAAGCTAGGCTTAGGTTCCAGGCTAGAGGGGAGAACTGAAGATCTGGAGCAAAAGACATCATTCCCCATTCCCCAGGTCTAGAGGTGATTACAAAAATTAAACTATTACTACAAAAAAAAATGCACTGGCAAAGAAGAAAAAATCTAACCATAGAAAGTTATCATGGGAATAAAGAAGACCAGGGTTCATCTTCAGAGGAAAATATTGACGCAAAGAAACCCTCTTCTACTCCCAAAGAATAATGTCAAATGGTCAACTGCCCAAAAAGAATTTATAGAAGAACTTTAAAAAGACTTTAGAAATCAAATTTCTAAAGAGATAGATTGAGGAAAAACTAAAAGAAAAAAAATAATAAGAACAATCTAAGAAAAACAAAAAGATTATGAAAAGAAAGTCAAGCAATTAGAAAGGGAGATGCAGAATCTTAAGGAAGAAAATGACATCTTGAAAATTAGAATTGTGCAAGGGGAAGCCAGCAAAGTTATAAGAGATCAAGAAATAATTAAAATAGAAAGAATGAAAAAACAGAAGAGAAAGTACATCTTATAAGAAAAACAACTGATTTGGAGAACAGATCAAGAAGAGAGAATATTAGAATAATTGGACTACCTGAAAGCTATTATCCAAAAAAGAATCTTGATACAATAATATAAAAACTAATTAAAGAAAATTGTCCTGAAGCATTAGAACGGGGGTTGCTATTACATTTGAGGGGGAAATTAATATAACATTTTCATGGATTAGAATGGGAGGGTGGGAGTAGAAATAGAAAAAAAAAATCCATCAGTCACCACTTGAAAGAGATCCTATGAAGAAAACTCATAGAAATATAGTCAAATTCCAAAACCACAAGCTCAAGGATAAAATATTAAGAGCAATAAGAAAAAAACAATTTAAATATGAGAGTGCCACAATTAGAATCACACAAGACCTAGTAGTGGAGACACTGAAGGACTACAGGTCTTGGAACACTACATATCAAAGAGCAAGAGAACTGGGGTTCTGGCTGAAAATATCATACCCAGCAAAGTTAAGCATAATTCCAAATAGGAAAAAAAAGGACATTTGATCAACTGTTAGACTTTCAGGACTTTAAAGATAAAACTTGAACTTGATAGATTTGACATATAAGAGCCAAGAGAAACATAAGGTACATACCAAAGACTGATTACAAAGGCCAGACCATTTATCTTTTATATATGTAAAATGTAAAATCTATGTCTAAGATTGTCATTAGTAATTGGGTAGTTTATAAGAAAGATTGTTGTAGACCTGATTATGATATGACTTTAAAAAGTAAAACTGTTTAAAATCAGCTAAAAAGAATAATTATTTTATACAAATGAGGTACAAGAGGAAGAATTATCATGGAGGAATTAGATGGAGGAGGAGGGCTGGCAGTTCTGGTAACCTACTTTCATCGGGGATGGGTTTAAGAGGGAACAATACATATATATCTTAAAAAAGTATAAAAATCTCCTAAATTCAGAAGAATATAAAGGATAAGGGAATAGGGAGGAAGGAGAGAATAAAGGAGGGATTGTTTGAGGGGAGAGTGAAGGAATAGGTTAAATAGGGGTATAGAAGGGTGTTTAGATAAATGGGAATGGAAAGATTGGGCAGGGATCCTTGGAAGAGGGGGTAAGCTAATAGGAGGGCAAGGTAACAGGTAAAAGTTAAGTAGGGAAAGTATATGTCTATATATGTATGCATATATGTCTATATATGTATGCATATATGTCTATATATGTATGCATATAAGTCTATATATGTATAAGCATATATCATATATATCTACTCAAAACTTCTGCAAAATTCTGTCAAGTCTTATGGTGAAGTTCTGGACTGGATAGAAAAGCTCTTAGCTGTTTATTTTTGGTTTTCTTTATACTTGTTTCTTCTGGTACATTTTTGGAGTTTGCTGTTGTGTTTTGAGGGTATCTGATCTGCTCTAGGTCCTAATATGCCACCATTTTCCCTATAAGCAATGTGTGTGGTTTTAAACTCCAATCATTTGAGGGTAATTATAGAGAGAACTATCAAAGGAATTCATACCCAGGACTCACTGTCTAAAAGGTTTTCTTGTTGCTGTTACATTTGAGGGGGAAATTAATATAACATTTTCATAAATTAAACTTTTCCAACTGCTCAGTTTACAGAATTATGACTATCACTTTTTAGGTTACTATTGATATCAGATATTTTGAGGTCAATGAGAGACCAATACTCTGGATATTAGGGGAACATATTCATGGGTCTGTTGTTTTCTGAATGACCTCCACAGATAGTCTGTCAATTTGTTTTATGCAGAGGCACTCAGAAGTTATCAGGGGAATCAGATCATTGTCTCAATATATCTCTTTCCCAAAGATAAAAAAAATCCCAATAGATTGACAGATATTCTAATCATCAGGTTTGGGTTGTACTACATTAAAATAAAAGTTCATGTCATCCAAAACAGTCAGGAATATTCACTCAGTGTATAGTTCCACTTAATGAAAGGCTTCCCAAGTAAAGATATTGACTTAATTGTTTGTTAGCTACCAACTTTGTTTACACTTTTCCCTCTACCCAACATGGATGGGACATCATCCATCCCTAACGCAATATTTGCTTATTTATACCTTATTCATTCTTCAAAACTCAACTTAATTCAGGCTTGTCAATGAAGCTTCCCTTGATCCTTGCAGTTGGAATTAGATACTTGATACCTGTGTGTTGAATGAATGAATGAACACTGAAGATGATTTAAATCAGTGGAATGAAACAAATAGAAATAAGGTGTGTGGTGATGGGGAGGGTGTTGATCCAAACAAAGATTCCTGCATGACATATATTGACTTATATTTAAAATGTAACATTATCTATGTTTTATTATATTTTTATTCATTTTCTTAAACAGTTCCTGGTTATGCTTTAATCTGGCTAAGTCACCACTGGAGCCTGCAAGGCTGCATATTTAACACCTCTGATTTAAATGACACACCTTTGTCATTACATTTAAAAATTTTGTCTTCTTTTTAGAAACATATCAACTTGGAAAATGTGCACCAAAATTTTTTGAAGATTTGCAAGTCAACCTATACCACAATAAATTGGGTAATATTGTTGTTAATTATAGCTGTAACTGGAATTCAGAATTCAAAAGTACAGAATGTACGCGTGGAAAATGGTCTCCCAAACCACAATGTCCAAGTAAGAATTTTTTTTAATTCTCTAAAGCAAATTTTCTTCATCATAAAACTCCTACTTTTACCTGTGAAAAAGTAAAATAGAAAATTTAGAAAGCAACAATAACAATGCAAGAGATGTCTATAGCACTTTAGGATTCGCAAACATTTTTCCAAAAGTGTCCTGTGAGGTAGGTAGTGCAAGTATTGTTATCCCATCTTTTACAAATATGAAAACCAAAGCTTCAGAAAGTTTTGTCTTACCTGGCTTCATGCATGCCCAACAAATTTTAAAAGATCTCATATCAACTATTTTTGTCTTAAATATAAACATGGTAAATGCTAATATGATTTTGTTTTTCATTGTTTCTGATGAGCTGTTCTGTATGGGCTTCAGCAAAGTCCTAATGATAACTTGCTCTTTACTTACTGATTTTTTGATTGACTTTGGTCAGTTTGTTGTTAGACAGAAATAGCAGTTGCTGATATTGGTAGGTCAGTTTTATTCAATTATCCAGTGGCTCAAAGCATAGATAATTGAGTCTCAGATAAATCTCAATAATCCTTTACTTAAGATTTCATTTCAGCAAGCAATGTTACATGCTACATACAAAGCACTGTTAGTTGTCAAGTATACAAAGACAAAAATTAAACAATAACTCCATCAAGGAATTTACTTTCTACTAGAAAAAAATTTTAACATGTACATAGGAAAGTAAATACAAGGCAATTTTAGGAGGGAGAAAACAATAATCACTTGGGCATCAGGGATCCAGAGAAGATTGACTTGCACATGAGTTAAATCTTGAAGTAATACTTGGTTTCTGAGAGGTAGAAAGGAGTCTCACTCATCCTTAAAATCTTTCACTAACCCTTCAATAACCTCAAATGGTCATCCTATAATAGAGGCAAGATGGACCTTATATACAGAAAGACTATGGGAGACATCTTGGAGCAGCCAAGTAGTCTATGAGGTAATAGAGCTCCAGGGGTGGCCAAGGGAGAATAAAGCCTAGATAGGATTAAGGGTGGGAAATGACTGGGGGCCATAGGGAGGTAAAACAGTGGAGGGCCAGGCTAGGTTAAGGGTAACAGAGATTGAGTATAACCACAATGAAAGGCCAATTGATGGAATTATAGCCTCAGGGGAATGCCAGAGATTAGGCCTTGTGGGAAAGTCCAAGGTTTTTCCTTTTTGGGGTATAGCTCCCATCCTCATCATTCCTCCCTCAAACAAATGGGACACAAATTCTTTTGGGGTAAGGGGCAAAGGTCTTGGCTTCTGGAACTGCTTCCTGCTGGCAAAGGGCATAGAGTTGTTCCTGCCTTGAAGGGGTCCTAAAGAGGAGATCGACTGGAACCAAGCACGGGCTGCATCCAGGGAACGATGGGGAGTGGGGGAGGAACATTGGCTGGTACCAGCTATTTGCTATCAACTGTAGGTGAATGGTCTGTAATCTGGAAGACACAAATCTTCCATTTTTGGCTGGTGAAGAGCTTGGTATCAGGCAGTTTTTCTTGGTCAGGGAACCATAGGATGAGGTCTAGAGGTTTAGGGGCGCCCGAGATCACGACATGTGGGTCCTGCCCGAAAGATTTAGACTCAAGCCTTCTTTCAGCCAAACACAAGGTTTATTAAAGATCCACCATATTAGCCAGACTCTTAAGGAATCTTAGCATCTATGAGCTATTGTCTAGCTTGTAAAAATCTGAGCAGTGGCTAGATTATAAGAATCTGAGCCCAAGACAATTCTTAAGGCGCAAACAAATAATCTATTATAAAACTGAGTAGGAATCTCATACAAGTTATGGCAATTTCAAGATACACACACTAATTCAAAAAGTTACTTTTATATTGATCAATACTTAATTTTTAGCTTGTGTGATTCCCCAAATATCTAACTATATGTTCTAGTCTGATTCAATTATCTTTTGGTTGTTTCCTAGTAGACACAAAGCTTTCTTCTTTTTCATAAGCCAGGAAAGGGTTAAGTGCCAGTCCTATTGCAAAGTGTAAACCTTGAATCTTTCACTGACACAGCTCCCAAACCTGTCTATAATCAATGAAATGACCTTTTTCTCTGTCTTGGCTTCATGGCTCAGCATGGCCTGAGAATTTATTACCAAAAACCCAGTCTCTCCACATTTACTTAGCCATGTCTTTGAGAATCACATAGTTATTGGCCAGAACCTAACTTGAAATCTTTCCCCAGGAGAAGAACTTGCTAGAGTCATCTTCCCACCATGATGAACCATAGGAATAGCATTTAGTGTAGACTGCTGGCAAAACTATGTGAAAATTAAAGAATCACAGAGATAATGGAAGAGTGATAAGGAGGTATAGAGAGTAATAGGTATTTCTTGCAATCATTAGACCAATGATTTTGTATACTGTTTATAGTTTGTCCTTATTCAATATGAACTTGGCAGTTCTGTGCATGGGAGAAACTGTGGCTCCTGACGTACAAGTTAAATGAAATTATTAATAACAGTAATTATAGCACATAATATTAATTTCTTCCAGAAAAGGAATCATGTGCACCTCCACCTCAAATACCTAATGCTCAGGAAATGAGTACAATAGTGAACTACGAGCATGGTGAAAAAATAGTTGTTTTTTGTAAAGAAAATTACCTTCTTCGAGGACAAGAAGAGATAATATGTAAAAATGGACAGTGGCATTCAATACCACATTGTATTGGTTAGTATTCCATATCTTGCAAAAAAATTTTCCTTCCAAGTGATGTTGACTCCCCTATATGCGGTCCCTAGAAGTTAGGATGGCTCATGTGACAATAAAAAAGAGTAGTCTCCTCTAAGGTCCCTGGAGCAAAATTACTGTGTCTGTGGGCAAATTTGCTCCCTAGAAATCTGTTGAGGAAGGTGGAACAGAAGATAGCTCTGGTGTATTATTTCCTACTCTCTAAAAAGTCCCTTGGAGCATACCTGGTGCCTTCTCACCCCACAAAAAAAAGAATGAATCAGTCACGTAGGTGAACAGTGGATAGAAAGCAGAATCACAGAGCACAGTAAGAAGGGGGTTATGGGATCACAGATATAGACGGAAAGAATTCTAGAGGTCATGTAAAGTCCAACAACATCCTTTTGTAGATTATGAACCTATGACTCCAAGAATGTAAACAATTTCCTAAGGTCACACAGGTAGTGTTTGACAGAGCTGGGATTTGAACTCACATTCTCTGACTTAAAGATCAGGGATCTTTTCACTGTACCCCTGCATTTATGAAATATTCACACATTTTTTTAAAAATGCAGTTATTTTTAAATTCAAAAGGATTTTTTGGTACTTGATACTACATGTTATAACCATGTTCTCTTCTCCATATAGAAAAACAACCATGTTCTAAACCACCTGCTATACAATATGGAGCTGTTAAACAAGTGACAAGTTCAGAAGCCGATGATGACAATTTGGAATCCAGTACCTATAAGCATAATACTATATTAAACTACACGTGTCAAGAAGGTTTCAAGATGATAGGAAGAGAGGAGATAATATGCAATATGGGAAAATGGAGCTCACCTCCACAATGCATTGGTAATGATACTTTTTGGCGAGTATTTTTAACAAGTTTGTAACTCTAAACACTCAAAATAGAATCAGTCAACATGAATGTATTTAGTGCTTACAGTACGCCAGGGCATTGTGCTGAAGAGACACAAACACCAAAAAAGACAATCCCTGCTCTCAAAAAGCTGATATTTAACTAGAGAATACATATGGGCAAGCAGTTGGAAAAGTATTGCCTGGTACAAATGCAAGGTATGTTGACTATTATTCTATTAGGCATCAGAATACGGTCTTTTTGACCCAGAAGAAGGACAATTCTCCCTCTCCCTCACCTTAGCTTTATCCTATATGGCATAATGATGTCAATTGTAGAAAGAAAAATAGTTAAGGGTAATAAAAAATGGATTATCCAGCCATATGCAACATATGCATTATCAACCTAAAGACTTCTGTAAGGGAATCACATTGTAAACTTTAAAAAAACTACATAAATGTGAAACGCAACTTCTACAATTTTCATCCCTCCCAGTTCCCTCATTTCACAGATGAGTTAACTAAGGCCCAAAGCGGTATAGTGACTGACCACCAATTTAATAGCAGAATGAGGTCTGGAACTCATCTCCTCCTTCTCATTTGTCTGCTCTTTGTACTATGCAGTGCTATCTTGTTACCTATAGATTGGAGTCCAAGGCTCTGTTCAATATACCATGATGACTTTTCTGTGTGTATTTTTTTCCATTAATTGTTAACATCTATGAATTTTAGTTTGTACATTTTCACTGTCTTTCTCCCATATCTGGAATGTTCTCCTTTTTCATCTCTGCCTCCTGCCTCCCCAACTTTCCTTGAGTTTCTCTTACCTTCTACAGGAAGCCTTTCATAATCTCCCATAATTCTAGTGCCTTCCTTCTATTAATTATTTCAAATTGATCCTGTATTTAGCTTTTTTGTACATAGCTGTTTGCATGTTTTCTCCCTTTCGGACTGTGAGCTTGTGAGAAAAGGTATTCTCTTTTACATTTCCTTGTATCCCCAGAAATTAGCACAATGATTGACTTATTGATGGAGTGAAATTTTCAATGTGGGAAGAAATCTTTATAAAAAGTCAGGGATAGATTATCTACATTCTATTTAATGATATTCTTTTATGGTATGGAACACTCAGTGACTTTTCTTTCATCATATCTTTCTAAGAGGTAACACAACTTAGTGGTGTAAATACTGTAACTAGAATCTAAAGGATCACATATCAAAATCTATCTCTAATACATATTAGCTGTGTCATCCTGAGCAAGCCAATTTACCAATCTGAGCTTCAGATTGACTCATATGTAAAATGGAGACAATAGTCCCTGTAGTATCTACCTCACAGAGTTAGTACCTGGATCAAATGAGATTAAAAATGCAAAGTATTCAGCAAATTCCAAATAACTATAGAAATGTCAATTATTATTATTAATCAGATAGAAATACCTGAAAATACACTTTGAAAATGTTTCTTCATAACTCTTCCTATTTGTTATTTTGCTGTTGAATCTTCTAATAATGATAGCTAATATTTATATAGCACTTTAAGTGTACAAAGCATTTTACAAGCATTCTGTCATTTTTCCTTACAACAATCCTTGGTAGCAGGTGCTATTGTTATCATCCCTATTTTACTGATGAAGAAACTGAGGCAGATAAAAATTGTGACTTGCACATAGTCATATAGCTACAAAGTATCGGAAGCTGGATTTGGATTCAGACTCAAAGTCCAGCTCTCTATACACTGTGCCACCTGGCTGCCTCTAAAGCTGCCTTCTATAAGGTCTACATATTAGATTCCATCTCCATAAATGTCAAGATCACATTTCCCATAATAGTTGTTGTTCCTCCAATTTCATCAGAAAAATAAACAGGTTTTGATCGTTTTATAGCTTCTGATCAAAATTTAATATTTACAGTGAAGCTAGTTGACTTGAATAAGATATACACTATATTCAAAACTAAAATAAAGGACATATTTCTCTCATTCATTTTCAGGAATTCCATGTAGAAAACCACCTCAAATACCAAATGGTGCAGTTCTTAATGAGTTAAACACTTATGAGTTTGGAGAAGGAGTGACATACAAATGTCATGAAGGTTTCAACATCAATGGGTCAGCAGTTATAACATGTATTGGAGGGATCTGGCCTAATCCACCCCAATGTAAAGGTAGAGATCCTTTCTTTTCTTTTCAAGGGCAATTGTATTTTTTAATACTTAGATATAGCTCTGAAATTTTTCTGATACAGTAACCCTAGCATGATCAAAACAATATAACACACAAATTGCAAAATTAGGTATGAATTTGCAAAGGCATTTTTGAATTGAATTTTCCAGATGTTAACTAGAAACTTGAAAATTCAATTCAAAATACGGAATAATTGTAATATGTCAACTTAATACTCATCAAGTGGATTGTCCTCTTAATAACCTATCTGTTGTTTTTTTTTTTCTTTTTTAAAGTCCACTTACACTTCACAGTATACTGGGGACAGAAAATAGAGCAATAATTTCTTTGATTTCTAATTGTTTCCTTGCATTAAGTTCACTCTGCACAAAGTTAATAATCCCAAAAGAACCAAAGGAGTATGTGGACACACCCCCAAGCAACAGATAATCTCTTTAAGCCTAACCACATACTTTGCCACAAGGAAGAATAAAACAAAATATAGCTTGTTTCATACTGATGCTATTAATTCTCACTTTTTCCACAGTAGTTTAAATACTCAGAGGATCTATGATTTAGAATTTTAAGTCCACTTTAAAATAAGAAAACTGAGATTCAGAGAAATCAGTGAATTTCCAGTATTATACAGATAATAGTGAATCTGGGATTCACAGTCAAGTCTCTGATTCCTGATACTCTATTTGTATAGTGCTTCATATACTTCACTACATTGATTCCAATGAGTCAAGAGCTGACTATTGTAGACTATTGTAGCACTTACTCTAGACTCATTCTCCCAACTCCCATTCTAACTGGAAAGCCAGACCCTCAGAAGCTGACCAAACACTATCTCTACCCTAAGGGTTGTAGGAATATTTCTAAAAAGCTGGGAATTTTAATGCCATCTGGTGTCCTCTCTATTGAGTATTGGCCAGTAGCCTCAACTTGGAAATGGCTAATGTGGGGATTTGTTTTGCTTGACTATGCATATTTGTTACAAGAATTTGTTTTTCTTTTTTATTTTTAATTTTCAGTAGTGGGGGAAGGATGGAAGGAGGAAAAATGCTTGTTAATTTAAAAAAAATTTAAAGGAAAGATTATTTACTGAGATGGTAGAGTTAGATTGGAACAAAGAACAAAGCCCTCCATAAACTTCTAGGGCACAGCCTTCCACAAATGCATATAAAGTCAGTGGTGAGAGTAGGCACAAACTTAATAAATAGACTTACAATGAGGTGCAAATATAGAGAACATATTTCGCATAGGAATAAGTCACATTCCATGTGGAAAACCACCTCTAATACAAAATGGTGCTGTTCTTAGTGAGTTAAACATTTATGAGTTTGGAGAAGGAGTGACATAAAAATGTCACGAAGGTTTCAACATCAATGGGCCAGCAGCTGTAAAATGTATTTGAGGAACCTGGCCTAATCCACCACAAGGTAGAGAGCCTTTCCTTTCAAGAACAATTTTATTTATTTTTTAAATTAATTTATTTTGATTTATCAACAATCACTTCCATAAGCTTTTGAGTTTTAAATTTTTCTCCCTATCCCTCCTTACCTCCCTCCCCAAAACAGGATGCTATCTGATATAGGCTATACATATACATTCCTATTAAACATATTTTCACATTAGTGATGTTGTAAGTAAGAATTAGAACCAATAGGAGGAACCACCAGAAAGAGGAAACAAAACACAATAGAAGAAAAAAAACAGCAAATAGTATGCTTTGATCTGCATGCAAACTCCATAGTTCTTTCTTCTTTGTGGATAGCATTTTCCATCATGAGGCCTTTGGAGACATCTTAGATCCTTGTATTGCTGAGAAGGGGTAAGTCTATCAATATTAGTCATCGCACAACGTGGCTGTTATTGTGTGCAACGTTCTGCTGGTTCTGCTCAAAAGCATCAGACTATACAAGTCTTTCCAGGTTTTTCTGAAGTTTGCCTGTTCATCATTTCTTATAGCACAATAGTACTCCGTTACTTTTCTTTTCTTTTCAAGAACAATTTAATTTTTTAATACTTAGATACAGCTCTGAAATTATTTCTGATACAGCAACCCTAGCATGATCAAAACAATACAGCACATAAATTGCAAAATTCGATATGAATTCGTAAAGGCATCTTTTGAATTAGAATTTTCCTGTTTGTTGCAAATCTTTTTTTTCTGCTGTTAGGGTCCTCATGACGTTCCCCTTAAGTGTGACTCTTTTCTGAGTTATTGCTTTCATTTCACCTTGAATCCCCTTTTATTTTCTATGCCTAGCTAGGTTGTTCCAGGGAAAACCAGTGACAAAATCACATTTTTTTAGGTATTGAAGTAAGTGCATCAAAGTATAAAAATGTAATTTTTTTTGGTATTGTTGTTACAACCATGTTATTGTAGTTATTTGATCATATCTTTCTTTTCAATACTTATAATTAATTACACAAATACTTTTTTTTCAGATGTGAGATGTACACGTCCACCCCAGTTTAATAACGCTGACATGATTGGTATTTCAAGAAGGTACTATTTTCCAGGAGACAAAGTGACTTATCAGTGTCT